AATATTTTTTTTACTGTTTTTCTGGGTGCACAGCTCTCAGTGACAGAAATAATAAATAGCAAGTAAAATACCAGTTGAAAGGCACCATTGCGGGTAACAGGAGCACATGCTACCTTGCGTGTTTTCTTTCAAAGAACAAAATCAAGATGTAAGGAACCAGTGATGGGGATGAAGGGGGCACTTAGCAGGCTATGATTAATCTGCAACCTGCTTAATCGGCCTCAGGATAACTGAGAGTTGTCTCTGGGTAATTGAGATCAATGGAGTTTCATTAGAGACTGCTTTAAAGAGCACCCGGCTCCAAATGCTGAGCGAAGCAGGAGGGAATCAGGGGAGCGAGGACAGAGCCCAGGAGAGGTGGGAGGAGGCCGAGCAGCGACAGGGAACTGGCCCTTGTGCTGACACGCAGGAGGTCTGCACTGGCTGGTCTAAGACTGGGACTTGTGGCTTTTCTTGATACTTGGGAACGGTGTTTTTTTTTTGCAGAACATGAGCTAAAGCTGTAATTCTTCCCCGTGCTGAGCAGTCAGTGCAATACAGATATGATGAGCGCATACTGTGAGTCCCATGGGCAGAGGATACAGGATTTGGGTGAATCTGCAGCGCCTCCTGCAAGCAGGAGCAAGTCAGCTGATGCAGCCTTTGGTTGGGCTGCCGTGTCCCCAGAGCACTGGCTTTAGGGTTTGCCTGGTTTGCCTGCAGTTACCCCAGACAGGAGCACCCAAACTGCATCCCAGTTTGGCAGGTGCCATATCTCCAGGTTCTGCCCATGCCCTTGGAAAGAGGCTGGGTCAGGCATTCCTGCGATGGGTTTAGATCCCCCCTGCCTAAACCGCGTGAAGAGAGAAAATGCTTCTGGTTTTTGTCCCCCCATGCTAATGAGGTCAGGGAAATAGGGTTGTTAATTCCAGAGTGTATGGGAGGAAGCTTTTAGCCATTGGTTTCTATCCAAGCTCTGGCACAAGAATCAAATACCCAGAATACAAGACCCCAGAAAGAGAGAAAAGTGTCATTTCAGATCAGGGAAAATCCAGGCACTGCTAGACACGAACAAAAGGCAATTTGGCAGCTGCTGGCCGAGCAGGCTCGCTCTTTCTTCTTGTCCCCAGCGGCTATGGAAACTGCCGCTGTTTGTCCGCCTTCCCAAGGAAGGTGGGCATGGCAGGCATGCCGACCTCCCCCAGGACAAGCTGTGGCAAAGCAATGGAGCAGGATGAAGACCTCCGGCCACACGTGCCAAGTGCTCCCTTATCCTCCTAGATCTGGGCAACTGCAAAAAGCACTCCCAGCCCGCGGTGCTGAGGCTCCCTGGGCAGCTCACCTCCCTTCCCATCACTATAGTGACTAAACCAGAGATTTAAATCTGTTTTTTTAACATCGTGTTATCAGCCTCATTTGACTTTGGGTCATTGTTATATTATTTTAAACCCCAAAGCCCTTTGCAACCTGGTTGCCACAAACTCATCTAGCAAGGACTTTCTTTATGCAAATCCCTTGACTTCAGAAGCTCCAGACTGAAAAAGGAGAACCAAGTTATCGTAAGACTTGAGCAGCCAGGCTCAGCAACAGGCACGAGAAGTCCAAGGTTTACAGATTAAATATCAAAGAAGCTATCGTGATTTCAGGGTGGCTTCAGATGAGCGGCGTTTGCAGCAGGGACACTCGGTGGGAGGAATTGTTCTCTGATCAGCAAAGCAAGGAGCAGCCTGGGGCCATCCCTTCTCTTGCCCTGTGTCGGGTGGGTTATGAGAGGCTCCTACAAGCCCCTACATAAGCCCTTACTCCAAAGGAAGTCGTTTTTCAGATCTTTTGAGTGGTTTGCAAAGGTTAATGAATAAGGAATCAATTAATGGTCTCCTAGCCTTGCACTTTCTCTTTTCATTTAAAGGGTTCCCTTTTTGAAGATTAGTTTAATGTTAGGAATAATCTGGTTTTGCTGAGAGCTAATTAAATGTGGCACCATCTCTCCTTGTCCTGCTCTTGCTCCTTAGAAAAGCTCGGGCTTGCAGCAGGAGTTAAAGGAGGTTTTCTGTGGTCTGGGGGCTCACTTGGCTCCCTGCCTTCTCCCTCAGCTCCGGCTCCAGGAGCTGGGAGCAGGTTTCTTTCCTGTCTCAGATGGCTCCAGACCAAGGTGCTCCAAAGAGTGGCCGAGCATTTCTTCCCAAAGCCGAATGCAGACCACGAATGAAATCAAAAGGTGTGGGAGAAATTCAGGGCTGTAACCCCCACTTGGATCCACCTGTCCTAGTTCTGGTAGGGGACAACTGGGTTCGATCCCATTGCAGTGCCTGACATGGCCCCAGCAGCCACGGCTCACTTGGGATTTGCTTGCACCAGCATGTTAAATTCCCACATCCCCTTAATTTAGGCATTGCTTTACCAGAACGTCTCCCCATTGAAGAGATCCTGATGTCATGATCATCCATGGATTACATCCATTCGCCCAGATCAAAGCCCTCCAAACACACGGGCAACCACCCACTGGGTTCAGCACGCACTGGATGAGTTTCTTCATCAGCCCGGCCCGTTTCAAACACTCAGCTCACATTAGCAGCAGTAACAGTACCAGCCCCTGAAAACTCAGAGTTCAACCTGGTGGCAGTATTTAATCAAGAATGTGCTTTTATCTCCCTTACCGCATTGGAAACCCATCACACCTGGTCAGAGAGCCTTTGGTTCGCGCTCCTCGGCCGAGATTTCTCTCTGATTTATTACAGCAGCTTCCCCTATTACCAAAGCCCTGGAACAGAAACACCCATCAAAGGTTTAAGAGCCTAAATGGGTGTTAATTAGCCCAGCAGGGAAGGCAGAGTTTCAATGAGGTTTATCTTTAAACTACTATTAAGTTTGACAATGTAAAGAGATAAATTTGGTACTTAATTCAAGCCTCGCCTAATCAAATAGATTATGGTTGTTACCCGTATCTAAAATGTAAATAATCTTTAACTTCACTGGGGGTTATTTTACAGAACCGGATCATATTGACACTTGTTACAAAGCCCTGCTGTCCTCTCTCTCGCCCCCGCTGCACAGCATCCACCACCAAATCCTAAACCCGTTCTGCTTGAAAAGGATTAGGAAGGGGGTGGATGGGTGGGAGCAGAGGGGGAAAGCAGTGCCTGGTGCCAGTCGTGTTTTGGTGCCCGTCCGTGGGGTGCAGACAAAATGCCAGCAGGGATGGCAGGGGCTGGGGCAGGTGGTGTTCCCCTGAGCACTGATGGCTTTGTTTTGTGCTGGCTGCTTTGTGTCTGCCTGAGGTGCAGGGAGCCTTTTGCCAGGTCTTGTATCGATCCTGATGTTTAAAACATGGGGTCTTGGACTCTAACAAAGCTTTCAGAGAAGCGGAAAGCATCTGTTAGTGGGGAAAATTGCTTCCAAATAGCCTGAGTGGGTTAGAAGGGACCTTCCTGACCTTCGTTCTGCCCTGTAAGAGGGATCCTGGGCCATGTCTCTGTGGAGGAGTTTGACTCCGGTTGTCCCTGGACAAAAATACCCCGAGTCCTGGTTCCACCAAGCTCCAGCTGAGCACCATCTGCATGCGGTCATTTGGCTTCAGTGGGGCAGCGCTCAGGGTATCGGGCCAATTTAAAGAAAAAAAAAAAAAAGAAATAAATAAAGGTTCAGGGAAAAGAAAATGAGAAGAAAAAGCAGCTGCCAGACAAACCTTTCCGAAGACTCCCTTTCCATCTCAAAACTCTGCATAAAGGCCACGTCCCTGTCTAACCAGCAAGGAAATTCTCAGCATGAGCACTGTGCTAGGGAGGGAAAAAAATACATTTCTGAAGCTTGCTTTTCTCTTCCTTTTTCTCCTCTTTCCCCCCCTTGTGTTAACCTAATCACTTTGCCCAGGAAAGGAGAAAAACGGGCAGATGGGATTTTACATGCAGCAGGATTTTCACTGCGACTTTTAGGTATTTACAATACCTCAAGGAATAATGCAAAACCATCTAGATTATGGACTTAGAAACCAGCCTGTGCACGCTGTGTGTGTGCGCACGTGTATGGGCACTGAGATATTAGCCACACACATGGAAGAAGAGCGCACAACAAATTTATCTTTACAACTCTTAAATTATCTTTCAGTTGACACTTATTAACCTCCTGCCAAATTCATTATCTACGTGAATAAAACCTGAGCTATCAAACAGAAATGGCTTGCGAGGCTGCTGCCCATGCAGCAGGGAAAATTTGATTGCGACCAGGCAAGCTGAAACAAGGCTTTTTAAAATTATTTTATGTTATTTCCCTCTAAAAAGCCAAATCCTGGACCTTGCAGACAGGGGCTCCCAGCACGATGCATGCGGGGAGTGCGACCAGCCGTATTATCATACAGAGAGCTGTGAAATCGAGGCAGAGCAAATACATTCTGCTGTGATTTAGGGTTTTATGTCTTGGAGCGAGGAGTGTTTTTCCCCCTTCCTGGCTGTTTTGGTTGCTGCATGTTTCCTGGGGCCAGTGCGTGACATTCAGAGATCGGGAGCGGAGGGGGATTTTGCTCGCTAACGAGGAGGACAATTTGGGTCTGGGATTTGCAGCTTTGGGGAAGAGGGAATATCTGTTAGCTTCTAAATATCTGTTCATTTATCAATGGAAATAAGCATTTCTTTTTGGCCAAATAGCACAGCCTCAAGGATTTAACTCTTGGGTCTGGACTAGCATTTTCCACCTTGCTCAGACTTAGGGGAAAAAAACATTACAGACATTTCAATACAGTTCCCACTGCGGGCACAACAAGCGTTCATGCTTATAAAGACCAAGAGACAGAGGCTGTCTGAAGAGAAGCAGGGATCTGCATACCCCACCCTGCTGGAGAGGAAAAATCCCCCCACTCAGCAGCTGCTTGTTGAGCTCTGGCATTTGATGGCTCCAAATTAATCGAATAAACAAGGCACCTCTGCGCAAAGAGCAATTAGAGGCAGCCGAGCCCTGCTCCTTTCCCCAGCTGCCTCTGTGACAGGTTAAAAACCCTTCCCAGCATCAAGGCATCCCCAGCAGCTTTTGGAGGCTGCTAAGCGAGGCTCAGGGCTGACAGCCAGGGTGAGCTTTCCCCCGGTAAGGCAGCGGCCAATTAACCTGATGAAAAGGAGGGAGACAGAGCAGACAGGGCTTCTGCAGGGGCAGGCAAGGCCTTTCAAGTGAGGGAGAGGAACAGACAGAGAGAAGGAGAGATTTTTGGGGTCCCCAAAACTCTGTTTTGTCTGGTTGGTGTGTTTGTAGGGTCCTTTTCCCCAGGTATCCCTATGGAGGGATGTTCTTGGGGTTTCTATCCTTGGGTATCCAAGCAGTGCTCTCCCCCCAGGATGTACACGTGTACCCCAGCTGCAATTTCCAAACCAGTGATCCTGTGGCTGCTCGAAAACATCCCTGTGTGTGTGGGATCAGTGTTCATGCTCCCATATTGAAGGTACTTGCAGGTGATGGATGGGGCAGCAGCCTGCACCAGCGGTGGCCTAGATGCATGTAGAGGGGACGCAGGCTGTCTGCAGGGCGAAAAGGAGCAGGGACCAAGGAAAGTGCTCTAGTGTTCACAGGGCTGACCAGACCAACAGCTACATACAAGCTCCTTGCAGCTGGTCTGTGTGCAAGCTGCGTTTGCACCCCATCTACACAACTGACTGCGTCCCCAAGTGCCATCTGGCATGTGTGAGCCATGCAGCAAATGTGTTTTTATCTGGGAACTGCAAATGCTGTGCATTTCGTGGGAGGTCAGCTAATTAAGTGATCCTAGAGACGGGAGGAAGAAGTCAGCCCACTGCTGAATCCCTGTATTTTTTTTTTTCTTTTGTGAGTTAGGAAAACTTGCTTGGAGCCTCTGCAAAGCCAGAAGAAAATGAAACCCCTTCTCAAGCAAGCTCCTCTCAGGCTGAGCCAGGGCTTTGTGGATTTCTCCTTGTTAGGCTCAAAATTACTTCCTTCATTTTCCCCGTCACTCCTGGAGTTGCCTCGAGCCCCGGGGCTGCAGGCAGGCACAGGGCTAATCCTTCCCGAGCTCTGCTGTCTGGTGGACTTCAGGGCCACGCGATAGGCTCTGGTGCTCGGGCAGAGCAAGGCACCATCCATCACGTCCACTTGAGACAGCTGTCAGCAAAGCTAATCATCTGCTGCCCAAGCGATGTTCCCCCGACCTCTGCTCGCCTCTGGGAGAGGCTTGGTCCTTCCTCGGTGCCACCGAAGGGGATGGGGACGATTGCTGAGAGCAGAGGGAGCCTGGTGGGAGGACAGGAGCTGGGTGGGCACCCAAGCAGCTGGCCGGAGCATGGCTTGATGCCGCGATTTGTGTCTGCAGGAGCAATAATTGCAACTGATGTCATTTTAAGATGGGAAGTGTAGCCCTGTGCTCCCCTCCGAGGCTGGAAGCACCATAAATAAGAGGGCAAAGCTGTCCCCTGCCATCCGAGAAACCTGTAGATCGAAGTCCCAGCTGTCTCCACCTCCGAGATTCTCAGCGAAGAGCCGCCTGTCACATTATCTTGTGTCAGCATGGCCACACAGGGTGCTCCCTGAGACATCCTCCCTCTTCTGAAGCCCTGGGGACTGTGCCCAGCTGAGCCACGAGCACCTCGTGTCCTCCTGTCCCCCGATGGAGCACTTCTGCATGGTCAGTCACGGTGGCCTCCCATTTTATTGGGACAGGCAGAGGAAAACAGTGGCTCTGGCCCTTCAAGGGATGCTGTGGGACACCCAGGAGCTGGAAAGTCCCCAGGGCCATCAGCACCGTCCCGAGGAGCCCAGCAGAGCCAGGAAGGTGGCATGGGAAGGGGACGCCCTTAGGAACCACTTCTGTTCAAACCAGTGGGGTAGGTGCTTGCTGATCCTTGCTCTGCCTTCGCAGGGAAGCACCCCTGCATCCGAGCAAGTGGAGCAGTGATCTGCCCTGAGCTGAACTCCCTGCTGGAGACAGATGAGAGATTGCCGCGTGTTTAATTCATGGCCCTGCGTTTCTATTTCTGGTTGCTCTCAGGCCTCCCTGGTACAGGGAGGCACCTCTCAGGCACTATTTCCCTTCTCCTTTGCGTGCTTCTCCACCAGCAGTGCGTGCCAAGCCAGCCGTGCTGGTCAGCTTCGGGGTGATGTGGGGCCAAAGAGACACAGGGGTCCTGCAGGAAGGGGGCACCCAGAGGCACAGGGGCTGCAGCTCTGGGCACGGCTGCCTGGCCCCACCGCAGAGCTCTGAACACCTCTCTGCATGTTCATCCTGGTGGTGCTCACTGCAGGGCTCTGATTCCATTTTTAAAGGCAGGGAAACTGAGGCTGAGAGGCATCAAGGTCATGCAGGAACCTACCTTTAAGTTCAGTTTCCCCTGAGTGTGAGATAAGGCTGGGGGTGAGCTTTGGGGTTAGGTCCAATCCTGCCTTCAGTCTGGGCTTGACCTCACGCAGGGCTTGCAGTGCAGTGAAAAAATTGCCCTTTCCACATCCTTTCCTCCCCAGCCACCTCACCACCCAACGGATTATTCTCGACAGAGCAACCTGGGCAAGGGCAGGTAATCCACGGCTCCAAGCAGGCTGCTGCATCACTGACCTCCAGCACTGCAGCCTCTCCTGCCACTGGCTTCTGCAGGAATTTCCCAGGCTAAAGCAAGCTGCAAGATACATATATATATTATTTTTTCCCTCTCTCTCTTTCTCTCTCTCCTGCAAGCTGCTCGAGAGCAAAGTCATTGGCATAGCATAAATAGGGAGCACACTGGGCGTCCGCCGGCTAAGCTGAATCCCCCTCCACCCCCTGCCGTTTCCAATTTGTAGCCCATATTTTAATTCCCTGCCCCACTGTTCCCTTCCTGCTCTCGTAAAAGAGACCGTCCTGCCCGAGCAGCGGCTGGCAAAGCAGCTGCCATTTGCAGCTAGATAATGATGAAGATACTTTGGTTCTCGTTGGGGTTCCAACCGCAGGAGCTTGGTGCTGCTGGCACCAAAGGACAAAGTTGCTTCTCCTGCTTTTATCCTTTTTTTTTTTTCCCTCTCTCCTTTAACTGCAGGATTCTTTTTATTTTTATTATTTTTTGTGTATAAACTTTGAAGGCTGTCCTCCTAGGGCTGGAGGAAGGGAAACACTTCCGAAGTGGAAGCTGTACTGGAATTGCTCGTAAAGCATCCTCGTGCCTCCTGGGGAGTGCTGAGCAAGGGCAGACCCAGGGCTGATTTAAGACTGGCAGAGTGCTGTTGTGTCCTTCCTCCCCACCATGTGATACGGGTTCGTGGTGAGAGGCAAGCCTCATTTCGCTCAGTTTTGAAATGCTTGGTGGATTTTTATTATTTTTTTTCAGGCAGAAATCTGTGAGGGGAGAGAGGGAAGGAAGCACAAGCGAAAACAGACGGGTGGTGGGACCACGAGGCTGGGGCATTGTTTGCCCTCCAGCTCCCTCCACTTTGGTTCTGCTGCACTACAGGATCCAGATCCCCCACACCACAGCTGTACCACGCTGCTCCTTTTGGATGTAGGGGGCAAAAGATGGGGGAAACCAGCAGGCTGGTGAACATTAAAAGCCCACTAAGGATGAGGAGAACTTCCCATAGCTCCTGAAGATGCAAGATACCTCCTTTTGCCTGTGTGGTCCACAGAAGGCAGCTGGACCTGTAGATGTTTGGCTGAGGGGAGAGAAAAACGTGGTTCTCAGCTTCCTGCAGCTTTACTCTACCCTATGGGAGGGGAAGCAAGAAACAAAAAGCAAAGGGATCTGGCCAGGGTGACTCAACAGATACTGGCAGACAATAGATGAATATTTTCCTGGTTCCCATCTCAGCTCCTCTAGACTATCTTTGCCATAGACAGATGGACAGGCAGCAATGGACACCCTCTCTTTTTCTTTCTTCTTCTGCTGGCTCATGAGTAAATTCAATAAAACAGTGGGAGATTTGTTAGGATTAAGGTCAAATAAAAAGCGAAAAGGCGATTGGATTTGTTTTATGATTGATTATAGAAAGTGCAGATATTTATTAACAGCCAACAGGATAACTGTCAAAATGATTCTATATCAACAAAAAAAAAAAAAAAAAAAAAGCACACCAGAAGATGAGTCAAACGTTTTCAGCGTTGTGGGAACAAGATTAAACCAAATACAATTGATGCAGCAAATAAAGATGCCAATGTTAACAGCTGCTATATAATTTCAACTGGCCAATCTAATCTGAATTTATATATATATATATATATATAAATAAATATATATACATGCATTTTTTTTCTCTTTTTAAGAAGCCTCTTCCAATTGTAAATGCTGTCAGTGCCATGGATCAGGAGTTGTCATCTTGTCTGTTTTACAGCATCTGATCCGTGCCAAAGAGAGCAGTGGGGAGGCCACAATGTCATGAGGAGGATGCCATGGGGGCTGGGGGACCTGCTCCTGCCCTGGGTGCTGCCACGTCACCTTGGTCCAAGGGCTTTCCTGCTCCTCAACTCAGTGTTTCTATTTTTAATCTCTTTGCTTCTACAGCAGTGCTGTTCTGAAATAGCACTGGGAGAGCCCAGGGAGCCTTGGGTCATGCTGCCTTCTGCATCCACAATGGCCTGTCCCCAGCCACTGCCACCCTAGAGCAATTTTTCCTCTGCCAGACCCAGAAATGTACATCTGTGGTGGCACAGGGTGGCCACACAGGGTGCTGAGCCTGCTGTGCTGAGGACCACCCTCCCTGCCCTCCCTCCTCTAGGCTATTCTTATCCTCTTCCATCCATCTGCAAGTGGCTTTCTATTAGTACTGAGCCATTAAAATTCAAGGTCAGATTTGATTCTATATTGATCATTACCAGGCAAATTAAAGACATCTTTCTTCTCTTCTTCTCGTGTTACAGTGCCAAGAGGCATCCCGCTGTTTGCTTTTACAGGCTGCTGCTGCTGCCCCAGTGTCTCCTTGGATGGGAGCTGCTCCAAGCACGGAGGTTTCGTGTTTCCTGTTAAAGAAAGATGCTCCAGGTTTAAAAAGAAAAAATAAAAGGTAATTGTAGCTTGGAAGGCTGGAAGGCTGTTGGTTAAGAGGAGAAATGAGGCTCAGCTGAAGTTCAGACTTACTGCATGCATCCCTATCAGAAAGGATCAGGGCAGGGTCTAGACCATTGCAACCCTGTCCTGTACATGTTTGGCTCTTCCAAAGCACAGTGCAGAAATCTTGAGATTTAGTTTTTACTTTGTTTTCTACCAACTCGGCCTAAAACACAGGGATAACCCCTTTTTTTCTTCCCCATGGCTCAGCACCTGCAGATCTCACCTCCTGGTGCACACAGATCTCAGCTCCGAGCATCGTTATTTGCAGGACTGGGGCACACCAAAGCTGCACACCAAAGCCAAGCTTGCAGCTGGGGTCTGCTACACCAGGTTGTGGAGACATGGGGCAAGAGATTGTTTCCTGGCCTGACTTAAGCCTTGAAGAGCCTCAGCTCTGCAGCTCTACCAGCCTGGCCTCGCTGCACGCCCTCACCTCCTGTCACTGCTGTTGAAGCTCCCCTGCTCCCTGAGCTGAGCTCAAGCTGTCTGATGCTGTTTTGACCCTGCAGGGTGGAGGGGCTCTTGGTGCCACTGTGAGATTAGAAGAGAAAGTCTCTGACAAGTCCTTTCCTAAAGCATCAGGACAGCATCTCCCAAATTGTTTCTGTTTATACTTCGCCAGTGACTCATACGTTGATATTCTGTCCTGTAGGTTACTTTAAAAACAGGAATAATTACACTGCTAATTATCATTTGAATTATTCATTTTGTCCCCCTCTTCCTTTCTCCTGGAAGAAGGAGATGCATTGTCAGTTGTGGCTGTCTTTGTACAACGTGATTAGATGTTCTGTGCGCAGTGACGGGAGAGATCTCATCAAAATCTGCTTCCAAAAATGGAACCAGGATGAGGAGTTTCACAGGTTTCAACAAGTTAAAAACCTCTCCCCTTCAGACAAATAAATATGCACCTACATATGCACATGAACGCACACACAGCTGGGTGCTCACACACCCCTTAACCAAGCACGAAAACACATCCATCCCCACCATAACAATAAAACCTTTTCCTCGGCTGACAGACAGAGCAGTCTCTAATGAGATTGTGAGTGTGTGGCACATGTGTTTGTGTGTGTTTTCCTAATTATCTCTTTTCAAATAAGATTAAACATCCTTCGAAGCTGGACATCTTTCCAATAGGTGAATGTTTGAACTCCAGGGCTGCTGGTAACATGAAAAATTCTCCCTGTCACAGACAGACAAACAAATTGTTTTGTTGGTGGTGGTTTGTTTAGTTTTGTTTTTCCTTAGGAAAAACACTGCAGTGAAATTACTATTCTGATGTTGCTAGAAACCCAGTTGAGGGGAGCCCAGCTCTCTTCTCTTTGCAGCTGGGGCAAATCAGAACTAAGTCCAAAAATGATCTTAATATGAAGGAGGTGTGAAGCTGCTTTAAAAGGTGACTTTGACATGCAATTCTTGTTATCAGAGAGAAGGTGTCAGGGTCAGGGCCCAGCTTTATGGATACTGTAGCTTCTGCTAAGGTTGGAGTTGTTCAGTGGGACAGTCTGGGTAACCTCTGACTCAAGAGGCTTCTGAAAGCTGCTGACCTGGGGGACATAAGCTGAGGAGAAATCCTTTATCACTCTTCCTTTCCATTCTCTAAGCAATTGGTCACTGGAGGTGGGCAAAGCAGCCCTGAGCCATGACCCCTCTCTATCTCTCTTTGCTCTGCAAGCTCTTTCAGAAAAGCAGTCCTTGTCCAACAGCCCAGCTGTGGTCCACCACCCCCTGACAACCCAAATGCCCTTGTGGGGCTGCCAGTGAGCAGGGCTGGGGCTGCTCCTGCTGGCTTGGCGCATCCATCACTCCCTTCTGCCCTGCATGTGTAGTAATCTCTTCTTCCCTTCCCGCAGAGAAGGCAGCACTACTGTGAATGAGGATGTGTTTGTGCAGGGGAGGAATGTGCATCAGCAGCCACAGCAAAGATCCCCCATTCACTTCACACCTCCTTTCCAAGCATTACCTGAAGATATCCATTAACTTGAACAGGCTTGTTCCTTTATCAAGGATTCCTTAAGAAGATCTCTGACTGGAAAACTGCGCGTGTGCTTCAGACAATATGTCTGCACTTCACAGTTCTATTTGTTTAACAGGTCTGATAACAGCTCTGCCTATTGCACCAAGAGCCGCCCCACTCAGGCAACAGGTTTGTTCCTTTATCATGCATCAATCTAAACTGATTCCTCCCTGGAGACTCAGGAAAAAAGGTGCACAGTCAAGTTATTCTTTTAAACGCTTTCTGTTGATATCATATTGTTGTTTTGCTGTATTTAAATCACAGGAAAAAGGACACCGTCTCTCTCTATACCATTAGCCTTTGCTGAGACAAAGTCTGAGGAATGTGTCAGGGAAAGGATTTATCAAAGCCAACAATCCGATAGTTTTATTTCCTTCTTGTCAGACACAGGGCCCTTATTCAGCTCTTTTATAGGAACCCTGGATTTGCCAGGCTGGATCAAACCCAATCTCTGTCTCCAACAGCAGCCAGTGTTGCTGGCTTCCATGGTAGCACACGAATCCCCTGCAGCAGGAGCGCTGCTGGTAACCCAGCCAGGCAGCCGGCTTCCTTCCCACCCCCAGGGAAGACGTGGGTGATGCGTTGGAGCAACGAGGTTTATCTCCGTTCTGTAGATTTTAATGCCCATTGATCTGGTGCCCTCACCCCTTGCTATTATTTACTCTGGAGAAAAGCAAATAAAACCCTGCAAGTTGAGCTGAGGCCACTATTGCAGCTTGCACAAATACTGCACGGGTGTAAATGACGCTGCAGGATGGCCATCAGGCTCACAAGGGGATGGGATTTCTCTTTCCCATTCTGACCACTGAATATTTTAACTACCTATACGTATGGCCAATTATTAATTGTTTTAATCTTTAAGCTGGTTTAAGCCCTCTTTCGTTTCCCTCCCCACCAGCAGCTCCCTGCCTTCAGCTTTCCTGCACTGACCTAACGCCCACACCGACTGCCCAAATGAACACCAGGGAGGCTGAACCGCCACAATACAACATGCCAAAGGGGCTGATCCTGGCTCGGCCAAGCCTGGAAGCAGGGAGAGGAGGAGAAAACGGGGACCCACTCAAAATGAGACAGCTGTGGAGGAAAATGGGTGCAGGGACAGAGAGAGACGAGGAGTGAGATCGCTAAACAGATGGCTGGGGGAAGAGCTGGTGAAAGAGGAGGGAAGCAGACAGATGGAGGACAGAGAGGAGTGGGGTGAGTGACATAAGCAATTCTCTGCACTTGTTCATATTTAATCAAGAATTTGCTGCTGCCGCTATTTGCATTTTGGCATTATTTGCTTAACAGCAGCATCTTAACAGGCGCTGCCAGAGGCCAGGGCCCCAGGAGCTGTGCAGGATGCTCAGGGAGCTCGGGCTGGCCTCTAAGGGTTGTAGCCCCAGTGGCCAGGCTGCATTTCACAGCTAGAACTGGGGTCAGGCAGGCAGATGAGAGGCCCATGCCCAACACTGAGCATGAAACCAAAGCAGCTGGACCCATAGAGCACGTCAGGGATGAAATGGGGCAACAGCACAGACCCCTCAACCCAAACAGCCCCTCTGAGGGGAAAATGGCTGCTCCCTGGGTGGAGGGCGGGAGCGGCTTGGGGTAAGTATGGCATGAGAACTTAGAGCTCTTTGGCTATGACAACTACAAGTGGGCAGAGGGCCTTTCCATCTTCTTGTACCCTGCCTCGCTCCTCTGGCAGTCAGAAATAGGGTGGCTAGGCCTTGGCTGGGCCTCCCCATGAGGGCTGGCTTCCCAGGCAGCCTCAAGGTAGAGGGGAGGCTCCTTCCAGCAGAGACAGGGTTGGGGAGGAGCTGCTGGGCCTTGGTTTGGGGCAGAACCGGAGCAAAAGTATCTCAGCGATCCCCGTCCCTGGGGTGGCCAGCAGCCGGGTGTGCGTGGGGCAGCCTCTTCCCTACAATCTTCTGAACGTTTTCTGTGCTGCTACATCTCACAGTGCAGCATTGCCCTCAGGCCAGTGAAATGTTTTCTGGAAGGAGCAGTTGGTAAACTGAGGCATGGGATGGTTACTCCAAGGTACCTCTGGTCACAAAAGGGAGCCATAAATCAGTCTGAGAATGGGAACTGGAAATCAAGATGACTGGCTCATGCAGCATGGGGACGTAGGGCCTGAGAGAGCAGTACACACAGCAGAAATCTTTTTATTTTATTTTCTGCAATCCAGCAGTCTCTTACCTATCATGCCTTGCTTTTTTTTTTTTTTTTTTTTTTCCTCCCTACAGCAAGAGATTCTTATTCTCAGACAGAAGTTCCAGCTTTTTCAGAGTCTCCCACAATGCATAATGTCTTGTGACTTTGACATATCTTTAGCTGACGATGTCTTAGACCAGTTCTAGGAGGAATAATAAGAGTAATCATTAATATTTGTCAGGTCTAACCCAGCCTTATATCCTGTGGGATCGTAAAGCCTGTTAGCAGAGAACAGGGCTAATTCTGCTCATCACTGCCACCTGCGTCCCACTCCTAAAGGGAGGGTTTTAAATTTGCTTCATAAGCCTCCAGATAAAAATAGCAAAACAGCCATAACTCCTATAGTATTTTCCACTACAAGTGAGAAACTGAGGCACAAGATAGGTAACTTGCCTCTAAGTAAATCAGTGGTAAGATACAAGAATTGCCAATTTAGTTTTGCATCTTACTGGAGGAGCAATGAAGTTAATGTTGTCTATAATATATTAAAAGGGGAAAGAAAAAACAGGGAGCAGGTAGTCTGAGGAACTAAGGATGGAAGATGGGCTTTCCAAAATGAAGCTCATGCACAGTTGTTGTTGTTATTTTCGCATAACAGTAAGTTGAAATGGCCCTTCTAAAATGTTTTAAAGCAATTCTTTAATTTCTGGGTGACTGAAAGACAAAGGCAACTGAAAACCTCTCTAGTTTTCTCTTGCTCTGATTTTTTTAATTGTAATTATGAAACTGTCCCATTATCATATTGTGATGCAGAACCTTTCAAGTAATGAGAAATTCAAGTGAAGCCTTGATTACCTCCCCTGAGAATAAAATGTGATGGGGAGGACAGAGGAGGGGGGAGGGGGATTCAGACAAGTTTTATAATAATAAAATAAAGAAAAAATTAATCATGGATCCATTAGTGTTAATACAAATGCTTTATGACTCACCTCAATCATTTTACATTATTTAATAACAGAAAGTCATTATTTCCTGGGAGAATTACGATAAAACCTATTGGGGGGTTTTGTGTGTCTTTTGTGTTTTGTTGTTGTTTTTTTTTTAAAGTAATGTGGTAACTAAAAATTGGGTGTTAGCTGTAGTTAGCACAGGACAAGGTGTTGGGGGTATGTTTTAACCCCTCACAGCTGTTACCTTTCTTGAGCTTAGTGCACTGCAGGTGCCTGGGGAGGACATTACCTGATGGGCTGTGAAGGTGATTGCTTCAGGTGCTGGAAGACAGGGGCACGATGGTGCCCAGGGGAGCAGGAGAACATCTGGAAAGGCTCCCTGGGTAAGTCCTGCAACAGCTATGCCTATCAGTTCATTTTGGCTGTGCCTTGGGGTGCTGTGCTGGCTCTACAGAAAGAGAAAAAGTCGCTGTTACCTTGCTAGATGGCCAGTGAGAGGCCTTGGGGCAAGGAGGGGCACAGGTTGGCTCTGCAGTCCAGGAGCCAAGGTGCCTCTGCCAGATGTGGGCTTTTTGCCTCCAAATTTGCTTAGTCTCTTTGTAAGCTGACCTCGCATGTCCCCTACACTTCAATTTTTCTTGCTTTCTCCTTGTTTCCAGAGATAGTGCTATGCTCATTAATGTTGTTGATACCTTTGGAAGTGGCTTTTAAAACTTGCCTCCAGGCCAGCGTTATGAAAGGGTTGTCTTTTTGTGGGAAAGGCATCCCTAGAACAAAATAAGATGCCTTGTCCCTGACCAAGCGATTAGTTCCTAACTGTACTGCTAAAGGGGAAAAGGAGGCCTTCATCTAAGGTGGGCCAAAGGATCCTCCACTAATTTCAGTGGCACAGTGTGAGCTGGCATTGTTGCTTTGGGGAAATAGATGCGTGGAAATATGGAGGAGCCGTTTGTGCCCAGGCTGTTTTTCCATGAGAGGTGAGTCCACTCCTGCAAGTGGCCTCCTGTACACAAACCCTGTCTGTGTTGTTTTTCTTTAAAAAAAAGGGAGGTGACAAAAGGCATCTCCCAGCATGAGAAGTGGAGCACCGTAAGGATGCTGTCTCTACTGATTCAGCTTTTCAGGCTGTGGGAGCTCATGCTTCTAAACTGCAGAAGCTAATGGGAATCATGCTTGCTGGAAGGCAGGTTTTGAAGCTGAAGGTTACATGCTACCTGCACGTAACCCAGTGCATTGCAAGGTAAAGGGATTACACGCAGCTTAATCTGGAACTCTGGCTCTGTGAGCAATTAAACTCCAGCGATTCAGCAGCTATGAAAGTTCATACTGAGAGTGTTACATTCCTCGTGTTACCCTCTTGCCTTTTGTCAGTGAATAGGAAGGTGAACGTTAGCTGCAGCTGATGCCAGCCTCAGTGGAAATTTGCTGCATGGGAAGATGTCAAAGTCATGTTTTGACAAAACTCCTGCTGAAGGGAGCCTGCTGGGGGGCCCTTGGGAGAAGGATACTCGGATAAACCCCTCCTTAATGGTTCAACTGTTGGCCCTCTATCTTAAAGAGCAGACTCAGCTGACTGATGTATTTGTGTGGGCGCTCAGCTGGCATGATTGGCTCCATCTGATGTAGCACTCCCCTCTTCTGTGCCTCAGTTTCCCCATTTGTAAAAAGGGGATCATTAGCTCGAGACAGATGTACTTTTATGTAAAATGCAATGTGATTGGAGCAGAAAGCACTGCTTCTCAAAAACACCCTTGTGTTTGAAAAGCAGGTTGAAATAAAAACATTTTCTGTGGAAAACTGCAAAAGCAGAATTTCAGTCTCATGCAGAATCCCCTGTGAGTGACTTGCCGAATGACCTTGCTGTTGAAACTGAAGCTGTTTCTATGATGAGCATCTCCCTGTCCCCCCAGGTGCTGCTGTCATAAGGTCCTGGTCATTTTGTGTACTCAGGACAAGAACCAGCGTCTACCTGGCAGTGCTCGCAGGCAGAGGAATTATTCCTCTCTCCTCATCGTGAGGAGCTGAAGGACAGAGGCAAAGGCAAGTTTCAGGGGAGCCCCATTCTGTATCAGGGCCAGTGAAGGCACTGACTTTTTGTGTGACTCAATCCAGTATTTTAAACCCAAAAAAATCCTTTCTGTCTAGGGAAAGACCAGCTGCTAAATCCAGCCGTGGGAATCATGACATGTAACTGTATCGGCGAGAGCTGGGGGCCCTGGGGAAAGCTCCTGCCAGACCGAGGGCATCCTGAGGACACCTTTGATGGTGTCTGCTTACCTGCACGCTGTAATTGCTCAAGCTATTTGCTACATGAGGAGTCGAGAAAGTGACAGAGGCAAACAGGACACCCAATTTTCCGCGGAAAGTTAACTTTTCCAATTGCAGTTGAAAGCTTGGTTCTTTTGACCTAATTTCCCACTCCAAGGGTTAACTGCTCTCTGCGGTACGGCAGGCCCTCCAGTGAGTGCAGCCAGACAATGCCATTTAAGTGAATGTTCCTAGCCTACAGAAGTCCTGGAGATAGCTCCATCTTGCTCACAGTAGGTGTTACATTAGCTGCTCAAACCATATTCCAGTAAATTAGAGCTGGGCTGATTTAGACAATCACTGGGTCATTCTTTCCTCCAATTCCCAGTTTCACACAGAGATAACAGCAGCTGGGGGAAAGCAGGGAGGTGGACGAATAGCAGTTTGCTTGCTTATTAGGGGTTAGATGCAGTCTTGAGTCTGTGATTTGCAGAACACAACTGATACCAGCAACAAAAGCCTCAAAGTTAAATGATGCAGTATTTGTTTCAGGTCTAATAAAGACGCTTAAACAAACGCCAGGCACTTTCTTCTTCAGAAACAAGTCACTGTATTAAAATGCCTTTATAAGCAAGAACAAAACCTATGGTGAGCAGGAATTTTGGGGTGAAAGCTGGTCACTACACTGCTGGTCTTTTCCATATGGGAAAGCACAGCCAGAGCCCCACACTGGGTGTCAGGCCACCTAGTCAGTGGTGTGTGCTGGATGACTTGAGACATTTGGATATCTATTTGTATCCTGTAGGTATCATAAACCTTTTGAAGTGTGTTTGTACCTTACCCAGTGCAAGAAGAACATGATTTTAGTTTGGCTTGTGAGTACAACAATGAAATACTGTTATTGCAGTGAGTAGCCTGACCTGCTTGCTAGCGAGTAAGTGAGAAACCTTACAACCCTTCTGAGGTCCTTTTATGTGATTTGGTGTGCTTTCAGTCAGGAATGTGTACTACTTGTACTGTTCTCTTCAGGAACTGGGTAAGTGGATATCAGATGTTGTAGCAAGGAGTTCTGCAAGTGTTGGGAGACCCTTTTAATTTTTGGCCCAGTTTAAGCCTCCAGCCCAGAAAATTATTAAGCAAGTGCTTAAATCCAAGAATCTGCCTCAGTGTGTGTGACTGAACTGATTGCTTGACATCGAGGTGCTGCAGTGCAGAATAAAGAGAGGGGCTGGTGCTGCTCCCCAAGGCAGCCAAGCCATGACCTCTTTTTCCTCACATTATAATGTCCCTGGCAATGTGAAATGCAGCACAAATGCTTTGAAGAGGAGTGACTGCAGGTGTGCAACAGCTTCAAGGGATTAAGAAGTGGGAGGAAGCAGCAGAAGACAGGAGCCAAGGTGATGTGCAAGTGTCTGTAATTTAAAGGGGAAAAGAGTGTTTGTTTAGCTCCAGAGGATGGGTTGCTGCTTACCTTGATGTTTTCAGCTCTGGTGAGAAATACTGTATTTCTGAAGGTGTGTCCAAGGCAAGGAGCTGCTCCTGAGCTTCAGCATACAAATAGAAAGGGCACCGCAGAGAGAGAATTATTTATCTATCTATTCCCATTGCTCCCTTTAAAACTCACTGTAATGATGTTGCTATGACCCAGGCCTCTAATATTATGTGCCTCAGGTAAGGCAGATTGATATATAAATACCTGAGTTTATTACAGTTGAAAGACCTTTTTGAAAACTCAGGGGGAGGGAGAAATGGTGGGATCTAATCTACCATCCCTGAGGGAGAAAATTAGCCCACGGGGAGTGCTAAATGATACGGAGGCACTTGGATGCGGAAGGAAGAGTGCATCATTTATGAAGTGGGTCAGCTCCATCCTGGGGCGGGGGGACTGAGGCTAAGTGGGATTTGCCACTGAAGCCCTGGTTCTCAGCATGTTGCCCTCTCAGGACTGTGTGGATTCTCCTTAAATCTTGGTTGTGTTTATGTAGTTCTGGGCTGGGCTGCAGCCTGCAGTCCTCTGTGCTCTGACATTGAGTGCCATGTTAGATTAGACTCACCTGAACACAAGACTTTGGGACCAGATAATCAAAGAGCAATAGGAATTGTGTATCACGTTTCCAGAATCAGATTAAAGTTTTTCTGGAATCGTGTTAAAAAAAACCTCACTTCCCTACTTGCCTGTTCCCTAGGCATTTCCAAGTGTTCAGGGTGGAGACTGAAGGTTTTTCCCTGTTGCCCTGATCGTTCTGCCAGGTGCTGTTGTTAATCATTATTTTGATAAGTTTTTCTCATGTGTTAAAACATGTTATATTCACAATTGGATAAAGCATTTTCACTGCTATGATCTAGTAGTAAAGTTACAAGGGAGTCACTTTCTGAGTGGTGTTCAAAACTGACAGACATGGTTGTGTGACTTGCTGTGGGGCCCGCGCAGTTATCCCAGGCCTCCTCTGTTACTCTCCGAGTTAGGAGGTTTCTCACACATGTATCAAATCCTCCTTTTTGAGCTGGTAGCATTTTAAATACTCTGTTTTAGTGTAGCAGAGACCTGAGGTCCAGAGCGTGGAAGACAAACAGTCGCTGCTTGCATTTCCCCTGTGAAATCTAGGCCTCTGACCCATGAGTCCAGTCACTGCAGCTAGAGAAGCCACCCAGTGGAAAACATCTTTCCCTGGGGCTTTGCACAGACAGGAACCTCCAATGAAGGGACCTCCAGTGGTGACATTTCCCTCTGTACCGATTGCTAACGCCGGTGAAGTACTCTGCTAACAGAAGCAGAGGCTTCCAGGAGTTGGCATGGTCACAAGGGGATTCTTGGTGGCACAGCAGCATTGATTAGGGACCGGGCATTTTAACAGAAGTTGAGAGCACGGATGTAGCCAGAACTGCATTAACTGATATAAAGAAAAGTGCTTCTTAACATACTGTGTAATTACTGTGAAACTCATTGCCACAGGAAGCCATCGAGGCCAGGCACTTAATAAGACTCACCAAAGGGGTGGACACTCGTACAAATGGCAGAAATATGTAAAAACATGTTAGCTAATGATGACAAATTTTGCTGCAGGCTTATTAAACCATGCCTTTAAGCCAGTCTTTTCATGGCAGAGTCCAGAATGATGCTTAATCTGAGGAAGGAATGAGCTGGCAGACGCTGGGTCTGATGCAGTTTGGCAGCCCCTCCGAGGAGTGGTGAGTTTGACAAGGACCTCATCGCGTTACAGCTCTGTCACTGTGCCCCTGCCCTCTGTAGCACAGAAATCTGCATAGTTTGTGATCAATAAAAGTGGGAGCATGAAGGTGAAACCACGGTTTTCTTCCCCCTAAAGAGGAATGCATTTCCCAGATCATTACATTTTTGGTTCATGCGCTGAGGGTTTCTCTCCCTGGGAAGTTTTTACAGTAGATTGAATCTGATCATTGAAAAACTCATCTGGAAAACAGGTTAGATGCAAGTATGAAATGCTCCCCTCCCGACCTGCTTCCCTCTCCTTCTGTGTACCCTAAGGATGCTGAGGCTGATGGTGTAGGTTTAGCAGGTTTTAATTATCATTTACTAGCTAGGTGAAGTCTCAGGCCTCTCTTTCTGGATTAATCTCAAGAGAATGGGTCTTAACTTCTCATTATCTGCCTGAGATGAGTGGGTGGTCAAGGCACATTTTCCAGTGAAAATGGTGGGTTTCCCACATGCCTCCTGAGTTACCAGATCAGTGTCTGAGGGCTGATAAGTCTACTTTTAGTAGCTGGATTTGTTTTTGTTCCTGCTTTGGAATTGAGAACTTGGATTTACCTGTTCTTTCCTCCATGCTTACCTGTCAAGAGGTAGGTAAAAAACCTATAGAGATTTGAGGGTTCCCAGGTGGGAAAGCATTGACAAAATAATGTTTTTGCAGCTAGGAGTGTTGCTGGTGGGAGGAGAGCTGTGCACTCTGAGCCTTCAGATAGCACTCAGACCAGTACATGCAATTGCAGAAACCATTTAATCCTGTGCAGCTGCTTCCAGCTATAGCAAGGGCTCCATTTCACCCAGAGACTTTATGTCCCTGTGCTCCTGAGAAGTTTGGCATCCCTGTTTAATACCACAACAGGCAGCTAATTCATACTTAAAGGCGATAACCTGGGTGGTGCAGAATCCAAGAGGTGCCTGCACGTGTTCAACCGATTGTGTATGTTGCAGGAACTTGCTCTGATCACAGACACCTAACACAAAATGCAGAAACAGGGGACTGGATGCTGCTGGTGTCTCTATTAGGGCCACACTGATGCAGTGAGACAAATGGGAGACAGTTGGAGCTTGTTCGTTTTGGGGGTGTAAATGGTGTGGTGAGCCCTCCTGGCTGTGATCAAATCCTGCAGAGGCTGGCAGAAGGAGAAATGGGTGTTCCAGCTAAATGCAGATATTCCTCCTGCAGGATGCATCTCAAACATCACACCTCTTGCTTACTTTCACCTGGAAGAAGTTACTGCTACAACTTTATTTCTGCTGACCATGCACCTCTGCAGGGTTCTGCACCGAAGCAGAGTACAGGCATGGAGGAGATGGCATCCTCTGGGCAGGGACAGGGGGACAAAGACGAGGCTTCGGTGGGCAGGCACTGGGCAGGAATTTAAGACCAGCAGCAGGAAGCTGCTGAAAGCTGCTTGCACACAAAAGCAGGCCCAGCCTGCATCAAAACGCTCTCTAAGTGTGCTGGAGGATAGCTAGGGTTAACAAGTGAAAGCTGCCCTGCCTGCTTTTATTCCCTGCACAGCAAACACTTGTTCTGGTTATAAATGGCTCCATGAAGAATTTATTTCTTCTGCTGTTTCTGGGTTCTGTATTCCCATGTTTCTGTTTCCGAGCACAGAGGGATATCACTCTTGCTTTGTGTTCTGCTGTCCATCTCCTTCCTGTGCTCTTTTTCTTTCCCTCCTACAGCAGAGCCATTTAGGCATCCATAAAACTCCAATAAAATTTTCTCTCCCACATACTTCTGCAAGAGCAGAAAAAATGTCTGCTTCACTTCACAGACATTTTGATGTGGGGGGAATGGACTTTTATATTTAAAAAAAAAAAAGAAGTGAACGGTGAGTAAAATAACAAGCACGGAGAAAAAGGGTGGCTTTTGCAGAGCTGATGTACTCCCACCAGCTCACCTTCAGAGCAATTATGCCATGTAAATCTCCCTTTTGCAGGAAGAACCAAGGAGAGTCGAAAAGGGCACCGGGCATTTCAGCTTGTGCCCTGAATAGAGGAATAACCCAAGTATTAACACAGCTTGGCTGCGGGCCAGATGCCTGTGCATGGAAACATATTTAAACCATTGAATAAGCAGGGTATAAACAAGAATTTTCAAAGTTTGGTGTTTTTTGCAACTCCAGGCAATGAGAATTAGAGTCTACAGTTATTAAGTTCCCATCTGGTGGCTTCTTTATGAAGGAATGATATTTGCATGTTTCCAGCAGAGAAAAGCTGTTTTTAGCTCAGATAAAATGGAACATTTTGCGACGGTATGGGAAATAACAGATGATGCTGATTTTAGCAACTGGGGTTGTAGGTTTCACCAGCTGCCCTTTAAAAAAAATTATTTATCTTTAAGTAACGGGAACCAGTGTTTTTCCTAGTACCCTTAAAACCCACTGACTTGGAAGACTTTGGTCAGAGGAAATGGAGAAGGCGTCTTACAGGGAAAAGGAATAACCCATAGGCAGATCCACTGAGTCCTCATTCTGGATGTTTTCCCTTCGCATTTTTTAGCTTTTAATTTCAGGAAGGTGCAAGGCTGATGTAGCCACAGGTAACCAGGATGCAAAAGGGCCTGATTATTTTCTTCCTTGTAAGAGCAGTTAGGAAGGATTCGCAGTCGCTGCACTGCATTGCTACTGCGGGGTTGTTAATATTCCAAAACACACAAGGCAGGAGCCGCATGGATTAACCTAGGAGGAAGCCAGTGCCTGGCTTGTTTTGAAATATCCTTTCCCAACACTGCAAACTGAATATGGTTCTGGAACCAGACACAGCTTTTTAAACCAGCCTGCTCATCCGCTGCCAGCTTAGAGCCTTAAAAACTATAAATACAGCTTGGGCAACAACAGAACCACACCGCTGCTCAGACACAAGCGCTCTCCCACCCAAACAGCTGCTCTGCTGTCACTGCCAGAGCTGGGGGGGGAAATGTAATGCCCCAGTGGACCTGGGGACTGCAGCAGGACCCAGGCTCAAAACCGGGTTAATATCCCACTCCCCACCCTGAAATGAGCTCAGCAAATGCAGTGTAATTAAGGGTGGAAGGCACGGCGCTTTGCTCGCAGGCGATGAAGTGTGTAGCTGCGTTTGAGGTTCAGGGATGGACACATCCATCTGAATGTGCACGTGCACCCCATCTGAAGCCTAGCAGCCTAGGCATAACAGCCTCAGTATTGCACTACACTACGCAACCCCAAGAATGGTATTTTTTATAGTAACATGATCGCTGGTCTGTCCCTGAGCCTCATCAGATGAGATTACTAACTGGGGTTAGCTCGTGGTACCTGGTCATGGGGTAAAAGTGATGCTGCAGCACAGGGCTGCAAAAACTGCCCTATAGTACTGAGTATTTCAGTTAAACTTTTCTTCTTGCCTCCTTCAGGGTTTTCTGTTGATGGATAAACACAAGAAGCAACAAGCCAGAGGTTCTGACTGGCCAGGGAACTGCTCTTCCAGAGAGATGAAAACCTCAACAGCGCTGGAGAGCTCAGCCAGGTATGTGTGATCTGCACCCTGCAGGCTCCATCCTTCCAGGGCTTGCCGATGAAAGTCCTGAGACACTGAACTTATTTCATTTTTAAGCACAACCCAGCAGATCCCACTCTTTGCTCGGGGCTGGCTGGGCTGCTCTGCAGATGATCTTGCGATGTTATGACAGTACAGAGAGCCATTATTCCAAGTGCTTGCCAATCACCAGACTGCTGCCAGTCTGTGTCAAATGAAGCATCCCAGGCCCTGTCACATTAAATCCAGCAGCTCTTTCATTTGGAGCAGAGCGGTGTGTTTATTTGTGTTCCCTCCCCTCCTTTTGGGATGCCACACTCAATCATCTCAGGGGTTTGGCCTGCCTTTGCAAAGCTTGTAAGCGCAGCAAAGCTCAGCACCCCTTTAAGGGCCCCTCACGCTGGGGCAAGCCGCACTGTTGGGCTCTTTGCTGTGGTATTGCTTTGAAAAGAGATGGGTATAAATAAGGGGGAAAGCATGAAATATTGGTACAGCAGAGAGCGTGGTTCCAGATCAGTCCAGTGAATGTCCTTGGCCCTGCCATGCGTGCCAGTGCAAGGGCAGGGTGTCACAGCCTGGTGAGTTGTTGTAAATGAGAGCAGAAGATGCGAACTAGTGGCACATCTGCTTATACCAGTCAAGGCACCTCCGTATTCCTGGCTTGAAAATGGGAGGGATGAGGAATGGGACAGTCTCTGTAAAGGGAAGATCAAGCCAGGTAGCCAGCTGCAACAAAAAGGAGGGATGGAAATGAGAACAGATCCTCACCTGAAGCCCCCAAAATCCACAAGAGCTTGCTTGTTTTGTCTGCAAGCACTGGGGTACCAGGCTGAATTTTTCCAAGGTGGTGCCCCCACTGTGCTTCCAAGAAGCCAAAATGCCTGCCCCTGTGAGCTCTCCCATTCATACACAGGCCACAGGTGGAAGATGCAAAGAAAGGTTTGTCCAAAATGGGGAAAAGAAGAGGAAAAGATGATGAGCTGGCTGGAAAGAGGAATACAGCGAGGAACCAGGGTTCTGCACGTAAAATGTTGTTCTGTCAGTTCAGATTCCCCTGTCCCTGCAGGAAAGCTGCACGAATCAAGTCACTCGGTATAGAGGTTGTGAAAACTGGTCATCTTCTGTTGCCTTCATAGCTTGGGAGAAAAGAGTGGTTTGTCTGATTTTTTTCGTTTATAATGCATCTGCAGTAAGAGGTGATTCATTTCTTGTCATTATTTGGTGTTTAATTTGCCTTCTGTAGGATATGAATTCAGATGTTGTTATGGTTTTGCTCCTTTACCAGAATTAAAAACAAAATGCACAGTTAAGACAGAATTCCAGTTCTTCCAATCATTTGACAGAATGAAGCCTGCAATCCAAATTAACTGAGTTTGCTCATTACTGTTGTCACTTTGCATGCTGGCTGAGTTCTCCTGAATTCAGCCCTGATCCATTACAAAAATATATTCCTTACCTCTCTTGCAAGGAGCCCCCAGGCTGATTAAAAGCAAAAGAGGTTTTAGCTGTGATCTTTTCTCCCCTTGAAGAAGTGGCTTTTATCTGTGGCTGTTTGTTCCACAAGATAGTTTCTGGTTATTCCATGGTTATTGTGAGAATTGGTGGGGAGTTTCCCAATGGATGCATGGCCAGCTCTTCAACGATGCCTTCTGCTTTTAAGGACTTTGACAAAACCTTACCCAGATCCCCGTTTGGTGTCACTCCCATACCAGCGTCTCATTAGGAAATTGGAATGATAAATCTAGCTTCGTTATCCAGCATATCTAACAATCAGCCCAGTGACATCCTTTCCTTTCATTATACAGAATGGAGATTGACTCACTGGGTGACTCTGCGTTCAGTTGAAACCACATACAGTAACTGGAAACCCAGGGAGACTCTGCGGTCTCCATGGAGACAGCACACTTACAACTTAATGTGATCAACAGATGCTGCAATAATCTTGAAAGATGGAGAAAATGTTTCAAACCGAGTGTTGTTTATGGTGGTTCAGTGGATGTTCAAATTTGCTCTGTTATGACTGGGCTCCATCTAAACGCACAGTCTTTTGAAAACACACAGACGTGTGTATTGAGGGAAAGATGTCTCGTGGGGATAAAGCAACTAGGAGCTGGGCTGCTGCTTTTCATTCCCAGCATCTGCCCTTGCAGGACGCCACCTCAACTTCCACTTCTGTCCCAGGTTATCTTTAAAATGGGGCAGTCGTCCAGTTAATAGCCCCCCTATCTTTTATGCTCTGGGGGTAACCGTAGTGAGATGAAGGTAAGAGGATTCTGATGAATGAGCCTACAGTCTCAGGGAATTGAATAGGAATCTCCCTCCGTGCTGTATGAGCTAATGCTGTAGCCGACATCAAGATTTCCAGTGCAGGGTTATTTGTTTCATTCTGCGAAACCTCTGAATGGTCACTTCCTACAGAATTGTGTTTTTTGTAAAGAAATGACCAGGTTTCTGCCTGCTGCTCTCAGGGACGGGTGCAGCTCCCATCCCATCTGGACCCCTTGCTTCCTCCCCAGGAGCAAGGAGGAGGCACAGTCCTCCTGAAACAGGAGCAAAGGCACACAGGTGCTAGTCCCATACCAGAAAAACTCCGGGAGTTTTAGCTATTGGAAAAGACGGTCTAGATGTAAGTACTGGCTCAGAAAGCCTTCGGTTCACCAGCTGCTGGGAAGGTAGAAATTCATTCTGTACTTGCTGGTTTCTTGTTCTTTCTCCAAGCATCCTCTGCTGGCCGCTCACAGAGATAGGCTGCTGGGCTGGAGGGACGCTTGCTCTGAACTCCTGTTATGCTGTTAAAATCTGGTGGCTGTGGAGAGTGAAGGGATTTTTTTTCCCTTGTTCATTGAGTTTTTCATAGGGGAGAATTAATCTTTAATAATACGGTGGCATTTAGAGCTGTGCTAGGTGCTTTACAGACACATGTGGAGATGCAATTACCAGCTCAGAAACAGTGAGAGCAGCCTATAAAGGAAAGATGACCTAGACCGGATTTATAAGGAGGAGACTAACAGCCGTGGCAGGACTGCCCTCGAAATCAAGGAGGCTGGTCAGGGGATCTGTCCGTGCCTCTGCTGCCACAGCTCTCAGCCCACTGCTTTAGCTTATGTGCTGAGCTAGGGGAGCATTCTGCATTTTGGGAGAACTCAGGCTGTCCCCTCTGCTGGCAGAGCCCTGTAGCTAAAACTCCTGCAGGTGGGCAGCAGTTGGTAACTTCTGCTCTGAGGCTGCATTAAGGGGAAGGCGTCTTTTCAGTCTAAGCATCCTGCTGGAAACCAACAGAGCAGGATGCAGTCCGAAATCCCAGCTGCTGTTTCTTTCTTCCCCTGCCAGGGCAACCTTCCTTGCAAGACCCTTGCTCAACCAGGCTCCTAGGCTGGACTCTTGCCCTTGATGAGGTGCTCAGCTTTGAACATCCCCCTCCTGTGCACATCTGGGTCAAGAATTTTCAGGTAGAAACCATCTGACATTGTCTATCTCAGCCTTGGAGAGATCCTTACTCATGGAGTCCAAGCCAGTTGGTTCTCCACCCAGCCTTTGGTTCCGAGGCACTGTACACACCCATGCAAGGAATCATAACCCCATAGCACAGCCATAAATACCAGCAAGGATTATTGATCATGCTCTGTCTCCAAATAACGACAGGAATGTATCTCCTTTCAAAAAAAGGGCAGGATATCTAATTCAATGAAAGGAATTCCTCGATGAAGTCCCAGATGGGCCTGTAAGATCAGCCTGATTATTTTTTGAAGCCTTGGTTGCTCCGAATAAGACTGAAAATTGAATTAGCTCTGAGAGACAGCCTGGGCCAATCACTCAGGGAAGCTGAAGGACAGCTTATTGATTTTCATGTTTCAAAAAAAATTAAATGATATCCCTTTTTGTTATTTAAAATGCTGCTTAAGCAATTTAGTAATGTGATGTTGGAGGCCCAGTTCCAGGCTCTGAATCGGAAGAAGGAGGGGGAGATTTCCCTTGACAAGAGAGGTAGGTGGAAGGAAGATTTAGTGTAATTGCCTTCCCTTCCAAATAATTGATGGCGCCAAAAGAATGGCTATATTTCGCCAGCCTCCTCTCCTGCATACCATTTATTAAAGATATAATAATTAATGATGTAAATAGTTGATTTATAATCAACAACACTGGTAGTTAATTGATTTTTGTGTGTGTGCACGAATTTATGATGGGAAGATACGTACAAGGTGATTACACTGTCCTGCAAGGCTGCGGCGTGCCCGGGGAGAGGGAGAAGAAGAGATCTGGTCAGTCTCAGCAGCTGGATTTTTGGTCATTTCATTGGGAAATTTAACCATTCTCCATCCCTCGAATGAAACCAATGTTTGAGGGATCCCATCGGTCCAGAACAGGGGTTCCTGACTTCCAAGGGTGTGTGAAAGGACAGCATCTTCCAGGCACAGCCGTGGCTTTTAGTGGGAAATGAGCTCTGCTCGGCTGCTTTGGTAGGGGCTGGGTGGAGAGTGCCAGCCACTTCCCAGCCCTCTGCAGTGCTTCCTAGATTAAACTGTAGTGCTTGATTTCTCTCCCCCGCTGCCCCACCCCTTCCCTTCGCATTGTTTCAGGCAAATCTTTCAGAAACAGCTCTTAATCAAATGAATGTGCCGTTATAAATAAAATACCTTCTCCTCCCCCTTCTCCCCTCTCACTTCAAATCTTGAACCTGTGCCCAAGTAGGAAAATGGGATTTTTTGTTGTTGAAAAAGGTGGCTAGAAGATGTCGTTTCATGTCGTGCCCCTGTTTCCCAGGTTCCCATCCCACACAGGGAATGTCTTGAAGGCATCTGGGTGATCTTAGCCCATTATCGTGGAGGGAGAGGTTTGGTGTGAGCAGTCTCTAAATGTCAGACTGGGTGGTGTGTGGTTTTGCCAACAGAGGGTGGAAACGCCCTTCCATCCCAGCAGCTGCCAGTGTGGGGAGAGAGCCCTGTCCCTCTGCAGTGTGGCTGCTGCTGGGTTTGGGATCAGCCACCCATCCC